GTCCCTGTTCCATGTTTTCCTACTCGAAGAAGAGAACCATTAAAGGGACAATATTATGTGTTTCTCAGGCATACGTTTAAATACCATAATAAAGTATCTTTGTCACCTTTAGTTGTTATCAAAATGCTGTTTTTATGTTTAAATAGAAAATAAACTTATCTTCTCATCACTTCCTCTTCTAAACGCTTTGAAATTGGCCTCTGTCTCTTTAAGAACCACCTTCCACTTCTGTCCCATCTTATTTCAGTGCGGGGGGTGTTGCGCGCRTGCTATGATGCAGTTTACTTGGCATCTGACAATGCATTTCCTCAAGGGTATTTTGAATCTGAAAAGAGCTTCACTGAGTGAGAACTAATGAGCTCAGCAGACAGCTAGGTTTCACTTTCAATTTCACCCGAGAGCCTGCAGGAGTCATGGGCGGGGTGTGGGGTAGGGGGAGGGGAGGTGTGCTCCGTGATGAGGAAGTTCATCAGACCAGTCCTTCGATTCGGGCCAAAGGAAGGACGCATTTCTCGGCCGCATTGGAGGAGTCTGCGGTTTTGGACAGCCTTCGTCGCTGTGCTGTGACGTATGCGGCCGACGAATTCGGCCTTCGGAGTACCCGGCCCACCGTTTTGGACACAGCTACAGAGTGAGAAGTAGTGGAGCTCAGCAGACAGTTTAAGTTTCACTTTCACTCGTTTGCTTTGTTACTGCCGAGAGWCTGCAGGAATCATGGGCGGGGTGTGTGGGGTGGGGGGTGGGGAGGTGCGCTCCGTGATGAGGAAGTTCGGCTTAAAGACACGTCCCAGGGGCGTTCGTGGTACCAAAATGCGTTCCTGGTCCCCACCTGTCATTTTGCTCCTCAGCATGGCTTCCTAAAAACGCTGCAGGATTTCTCAAACGTGCATGAATGAGTCAAAGCAAGGCTTTGGGCATGTTTTTTATGAGAGTATAACATTATAACATGATATAAAACTCAAAAAAGTTGATTTTACATTATATTGCCCCTCTAAGGCCTGTATGACCAGTTCTAAGATGCAATATAACCACTTCTTCCTTCCAACTTCCATATCTACTTCCATTGCCCCCCGCAGTCTTTGGAATATTATAAAAATGCCTGCCAGTATCATTATCATCCCATTGTTCCTTCTACATCTTGATGATTTTGTTTTGAATAATAGATTTTCCCTCTCCTTTGCTCAGAGGAATATTTAAGTTAATACAATCTAATTTCAGGGCCTGTTTAGCTAATAAATCTACTTCTTCATTTCCTTTTATTCCTGCATGAGCAGGCATCCAGATAAATTGAACTGAACAGTTTTTATTATGCAACTGGACCAATAAGTGATATATATTAAACAATAAATCTAATCTACAAGATTGACCAGATTCTATAATGCAGCTAGACTATCTGATGCAACTACAGCTCTATTTATTTTCCTAATATTATTAGCAATCAACCAATTTAAAGCTAATATAATAGCCATTAATTCAACTGTATAAACTGGTAGATGATCTGTTGTTCCTCTTTTAATCATGACTTTATGATGTGGAATATTTATAGCTGCCCCTGTTCTGCCACTTTTTGGATCTTTAGACCCATCTTTAGACCCAGAGCACCAGTTCTCCTATGTTTATTGTGTTCTGTATTCTTCTGAATGGGTGTTCTGAACTGTAATTTCATTGTGCTCTAATGACAATAAAGGTCTAATCTAATCATAATTTAATCTAATCTGTATATGTTACTAGATCTTCTTTAAATTTTTCAAAATATTCTTTAACTATAATCCCTTTTGGAATTTTTTCCTTTTTAGTTATTTTTTTTCCAATTGCAGGTCAATTATTGGTGTGATAACTAACCATGGCAGAATTAGTGATTGTTGGACAGTTAAGCTATATCCTGAAACAGTGCCAGACCTAAATTTTGAGCTTTTATATCCCCTATCCATCCAAAGCTATTGTAGTTAGACTTATGATGTTCCCAGCAGTCCTGTAACACAGCCTTTGTTGGATGATCATAATTATGTCCCTGGAGGTTTATCCAGTATACATATATTTGTTTCATTCTGCAAGGAAGCTCACCATTCTCAACTTGTAAAGCAGCTAAAGGAGATGATTTACAACATATCCTCAACCCTTGTGTTTTTTCTCTATCAAGATTCCTCAAACGACTGTCAGATGCTGCTATAAATGCTATGCAACCATAATCCAAGGAAGATCTCATAAGAGCCCGATAAATTCCCAACAGTGCACTATTTGAAGCACCCCATTCCTGACCAGAAAGACAGGTAAGTTAACGGAAAAACACTGAAGACAGGACACAGAATATACAGACAAACTAATTAAGAGCAATAAGAAACACCTGTAGGAGACACAAGAGGAAACAGGTGAAACACACACTGAAACACTAGAAAATGAAAGCAAAAACACAGATCATGACAGGATCATCAAGGTGTGGCAGGAACAATGGGATGATCATGATACTGGAAGGCATTTTTAGAATATTCAAAAGACTGTGGGGGGCAATAGAAGTAGATATGGAAGTCGGAAGGAAGAAGAGATTATATTGCGTCTTAAAATTGGTCATACATGCCTTAATGGTTCTCATCTTCGAGTAGGAAAACATGAAACAGGGACTTGTAATTTTTATAATCACATTGAAATAGTGGAACATGTTTTATTAGAATGTAACAAATATTCAGAGGAACGTCAGCATTTAAAGTTAGATTTAAACAGAGAGCATACATGTACTTCTGAATTTATATGTATGAGTAAGCACACTCACGCACGSCATTAATGTGTGTGAATTAAGCTCCCTCTGACTATCATTGATATCTGTCCTGATGCATCTCAGTAATCCAGGTAAAAAATCAAAAAGAAAAAAATTGTATAGGTCTTCTGGACGGGTTCTTCTCTAATGAAACGTTTCGTCTGTCCTCCAAGAGACTTCTTCAGTCTGAGAGTTTCAGGCAAAATTCAGGCTTTTAAGCACTGCCTCCATGTGACTGATACTCACATCACATGGCCATCGTTGACACCTAATTAACACCTATTGTTAATAGGGGGTGGAGTGATACTGGCTATAGCCGCACTGTAGGAGGGAGACAACGGAAAACGGAGGCCTCCACCTCTGTTTAATGATGGACGGTCTTTCTTCACAAAAATGGCTTCTTTTACTCCTCTCTCAAACCAACGTTCCTCTCTATCAAGAATGAGAACATCCTCATCTCTGAAAGAGTGACCGCTGGCCTGTAAATGAGTGAAAACTGCAGAGTTCTGGCCATTAGATGTAGCTTGTCTTTGTTGGGACATTCTTTTGAACAGTGGTTGTTTAGTTTCCCTGATGTATAACTGGTCGCAGTCCTCCTGGCACTTAACAGCATATACAACATTGCTCTGTTTGTGCCGGGGCACCGGATCTTTGGGGTGAACCAGCCTTTGCCGTAATGTGTTTTGGGGTTTGAAAGCCACCGGGACATCATGTTTAGAAAATAAACGTCTCAGTTTTTCCGAAACACCTGCAACATACGGAATAACCACTGGTTTGGGTCTGGGTTTGGGGTCTTCATTTTCACCTGAAGGTTGCATGGAGTCCTGTTTGTGTTTCCTGTCTGCATTCAGGAAAGCCCAGTCAGGATAACCACACTGCTCCAGGGCCTGTCGTGTGTGTGATTTCTCTTTTTCCCTGGCTCCTGGGTTTGTAGGGACACTGTCTGCTCTGTGGTACAGAGTCCTGATCACTCCTAACTTGTGTTCCAGTAGGTGGTGGGAGTCAAAACACAAATATTGGTCTGTGTGGGTGGGCTTACGATACACGCCAGTTTCCAATCGTCCTCCATCCGAAACCGAGACATCGCAATCCAGGAACACCAACCTGCCATTTTTTACATCCTCTTGTGTGAACTTAATATATTCATCCACAGAGTTGATGTGATCATTGAAATGTTGGACTTCCTGGGCTTTAATTTTAACCCAGGTGTCGTCAACATATCTGAACCAATGGCTTGGTGGCATCCCTGAAAAGGACATTAAGGCTCTCTTTTCCTTCCTCCATGTACAGGTTTGCAACAATAGGAGAAACTGGGGATCCCATGGCACACCCATGTTTCTGCCCATAATATTGCCCCCCGTACGTGAAGTAGGTTGATTCCAGGCACAGTTTGAGGAGTTGGCACACTTGTTCTGTGGGAAGTGTGGTTCTGCTGCTGAGAGTGGTTTCTGATTTTAATCTTGCACAGACCACATCCACTGCCTTATCAACAGGAACGCACGTAAAGAGYRRTGTAACATCAAAARAGACCATAGTTTCATCCGCCTCCATGATTTTTTATCATTGATATCCACACTCCAGTACGGTAGGTGGCGGTAAATGCACCTTAAGTTTGTTTGACATCCGCCATTAAAATTTAAAATAAGAAGAAGAAGATCATGACAGTAGGGAACCGGCTAGAGAAATTCAGTAAGACTCGAAAAAGTGAGTGGCACCCGGAGCCGTGCGTTCCACAGGCCTTCTGACAGAGGCGAGGGATGCTGACGCTCACATGTCTTCGAGAAAATCCAAGGCACATTTCCTAATTCAGTTTTGGTGAAAGAGAAGACATTCCCAAGTGCTGAGAAATATGGTCCTCTTCATTCTAAAGAGCAGTACTTGAATAGACAGTGGTCATGATTACCTAAAGGGCAAATTAGCTGATGCACATGCTCTCAATTTAAGGGATTGTTTTGAGTCCAGTGTGCTTGTTTCTAATAAATCACATTTATTTCTATTCATCCATTCGGTCCTTGTGTGACGCAAATGACTTCCGTCACCCCTTCTAAAACCATCCATCTTATTTGTACAAAATGCGAACATTATTGTCCTGCTATCATACTTTCTTGTTCCTGTCTTAATCTTAAGACTAATATTGGTATCAGGGACAAAAAWTTTTAAAAAGCACCACTGCCTGAAGAAAACTAATCTTAGAAACAGAGGCAGTGGTCTGAAATTGAAAGTGGGGAAAAAATAATCACAAGATTGATTTTGTTGCAATCTGAAGCACTTTATTGAGCAAAAACTTTGCACTTCAAGGTAACATGGACATAAATAAATGTTTTTCGCTGTTCCAGTACTTGTTTTACTGTACAATGTTATATATTACTTTTGCTAATCCGAAATAACAACATACAACATGGTGCTTCTTCTTCAGCTTCTTTCTCTGCTGTACTCAACCCATAATAACCTTCGGTGCAGCACCCATTCCTCATGGGTTCAAAGCTCTTCTGACTCAGGGATAACCACCGTCTCGAGTGAAGCAGTTGTAAGTGGGACCGGACCGCCAGTCGAAACCCATCCCAGAGCTGCTCGATTGAAGGAGGGACGATTTACAGAGCAATCCTCCTGGAGCAGCAGGGTCTCCGGGGTGGTTTCCCCCTGAAGTGGCGTGACAGGTATCGGCCTCTGTGCCTTGCTGAAACCACCAAAAGGCGTTGCCACCCTGAAGGTGACAGGGTGACAGTGTTAGCGATGGTCATCATGAGACAAACTGCAGTGACATCTGAAGTGATGCAGTTAATTAAAGTCAAGATTTGACCTGAAGATATATTGTGGGACTGAATCATTGAAAGAAAGGACCATGGTGAAAAAACAGATTTGTTTGCCTCTTTTAAGCATTTTTGTGCCATGTAAATTACAGTAAACTGAATGCATTGAAGCCAATATGATATCAGTGTTGAACTTAAAGCATATAGTGTATAACAAGTACTTAGAAGTTTAGATTTTACACTTTTTCAAGTATTATATTTTTAGCACACAATAGCTAACAAAATTAGCCTCTTAGTGCAATACCACTGATGGTCACAATTAACTGTATCAAAACAAATCTATGGTGGTTAACTTCCAATAAAAACATCAAATTCTATTATAAAACACTCTCAATAAATTTTACGCACAAATCCTTCTGATGTTTTAGTGACATCATCTCTTTCTTACTTATGTGCTCATTGTTCCGTGAAAACAATGGTAGCTAATAGAAAAACAGGGATTTTGTGGACATCTAGTGGTAAATTAACAGATTGCAACCAACTAAATTTAGTTTTTTCTCACCCTGACCTTTATGCAAGCGAGTTTAGAAAATAAATAAATAAATAAATAAATAAATAAATAAATAAATAAATAAATTTCTAGTTGAGCCGCTGTGTCCTATGCCCTTTAAGGTCACTCAGTAG